TAGTTATTAATATAATAAATATGATTGTTTTACGGGTTATAAACTTATTAAGGTTGTTCAATTACGAACCGAATCAAACTTAAGATTGGTCCACAAAGATTGTCCTAACCCAATTCAACCCGCGTTTCTTGGTCGGAATTAATAATTTAAAATAATTAATAATTTTAGTTTTTATTTAATTAATTATATTTTTTTTAATAGCAGGATTACAGCAAATGGGTGTTGTGCAGAGTTTACGAAAGAGATGAAGAGAAGGAAGAAGAAGAAGATGGAGCTGAGCTGTCGTGTTTGGATGAAGTTTTTTTATCCTTAGAGGATCTCGACGAAATCAGCTTACCCACTCGCATCCAATAAAGCGTCCCAAACACGCGCTTCCCACGTGCTCTCTTCTACTTATTATTATTACATCCCACTACCCCCCTCTCTCCCTAAATTACCAACCAACCCCTCCTCTTTTATTTTTTCCCACTTCCCCCCCTTTATGTCACTTTTATTAATTACTCCTAAAAAGAAATATCCTTTTCCAAAATTCTTTTTTAATTATTAGATTTTTTTTTTGTATTAAATGTATACTTTATGATATTGTTGTCTTTCGACTTTCTCTGACGGGCTTGTCTTCAAGACTTTAAAATGCGTCTGCTAGGGGAAGGTTTCCACACCCTGTTTTGTTCTTCTCCTTAACCAATGTGGGACATCACAGATATATTCATAAAATTAAAATTTTGATATTGAGATCATTATCGTTGTTTCAGGAGATAGAGATGCTTAAATGTTAACTTTGTTCGGGTTAATCAGGGCTGTATTTTACATTTGATATCGGTTCTCGTGTAAATTAATGGCGCGTCTCGATATAATCATTCTGATTTAATGATAATCTGGGAAAGTCAAAACGTAGCTAAAAAATGAAGCAAAGTAAAATAAATTCAAACTCAAGCAACAAACAACAAACATGACCAAATCTAACTAATTAAAAGCAACACTAAATAAATAAACCCAACAAAAAAAAAAACCTAATTCGATCCTAAAATGATTATGAAATGTTGAGTCATAGGACACATTGGAATTCGAAATTAATTTTTAAGAATATATTTAAAAAAAGATTCGGATTAGTACGGGAAGTACAGATTTTGTACTCCATGGCCTCGATATCCCGTTGTGACATGACTATATCTTGAATGGTTTTTAAGAGTAGGTCAACGTAAAATTGTTTTAAGTAAAATAGTTTTCAACCGTTCAAGATTACGTTAGTAATGTGATAATGTTGTAGTAGATATAAGATGTAGCGGGTATTGAATATAAATCGTAAATCGTTGTGTGAATCTTGAACGTGGGACGTTACGGTTAACCGAGGATGGAAAAGAGAAAGGAGAGAGAAGGGGGAGTGGAGCCCAGAAAGCACTGTAAGGTGCGAACCAAAAAATGATGACACCATTTTTATCTTCTCTCCTAGCCTTTTAGCTTCTTGGCTGCTTACAAAAGCATTGCGTCATGCATGACGACAGCAATATCCCTTGTTTTTTCTTTTTTTTTTTAACACACAAATTCAATCTTTTTTTAAGTCGTCACATAAACTCGTTCATTTCCCTTTTTCGTGTTAGATGAACACGACTTCTATAATGGTATGATATTGTCCACTTTGAGCATAAACTCTCATGGTTTGAACACGAGTCTCTATACTGATATGATATTCTAATGAAGATAATATTATTTGATTATAAACTCATGATCGTTTCTTAAATTAGCCAATGTAGAACTTTCATCCAAACGTATTTATGAATTTTAAGTATATAAATACGATTAGCGGAACTGATTCGGATTACCCAACTCAAATTATAAACTTTTGATAATGTTAGATTTTTTTTTATTTATGGGATACAGAATTGTTTGAAAGAATCTGAAAAAATAAAGAATATTCAACGTTTATTACAGAGGTTAATAATGCATTATGATTTGTACAAATTAGGAGTGTAAATAGGTCGGGTTAGGTTAGGTTGAAGAATTTTTTTGGACTGGCCCAAAATTTCGAGTTTGTTGGATTGGTAACCCAACCCAACAAAAAATTGTTCACAACCAGAAGTAACCCTTAATTATTTTTAGATCGGAAGAAAATAATGTTGGCTAAGTTCAAAGATTTGATGAAAAAATTAAAAGCAAAATTAGAATGTCGTTACCAGTCTAGCACATACTTGTAACAGTTCAAGTTCCTCGCGAGTAGATATTGTTCGGTTCGACCTGTTACGTATCGTCATCAGCCTTACGATTTTAAAACGTGTCTACTAAGGAGAGATTTCTACACCCTAATAAAAAAAATGTTTCGTTTTCTTCACAAGCTGATATGAGATCTCACAAATACTTTAGGTAAACATACGTCCTCAGTTAAAATCTCCATAGTGCTATTAACTCCTTGAATCACCTCATCGAGCATACATATTGATTCCATGTTTTCAATACAATCCAAGTCGTGTACACTTTTTTTGTTTTATGGAGGTTTAATGGTAGCAATTGCATAAGTTTAGGGGTTAATATGACATAATTGATTCCTCCCAAAGGTCATATTAACTCAAAAAGCCCAATATGAGCTACCCATACTCACGAGCCCTTAGGTCATGAGCCCAACTCATGGTTTGAGGTATTTTAAATTCATTTTCAAGGTCGTGATCACGAAAATTGATAAAATTGATATGATAGGCTTTTCCTTTCGGGCTTCGAGTCTACTAGGGAGAAGTTTCCACACCCTTATTTGGGCTTTCTCTTTCGGGCTTCCCCTCAGTTTTTGTAACGCGTCTGGTAGAGAGAGATTTCCATACCCTTAAGAGTGTTTTATTCCCCTCTCCAACCAATGTGAGATCTCACAATCCACCCCCTTTAGGGCACTCGTTTCCCTCTCCAATCGATGTGGGACTCCCCAATCCAACCCCACGTCCTTGCTGGCACATTGCCTGGGGTTCGCCTCATTGCTAGCACATCGTCTAGTGTCTGGCTCTGATATCATTTGTAACGACTCAAGCCCATTGTTAGCAGATATTTTCTTCTCTACGCTTTTCCTTCCAAACTTACCCTCAAGGTTTTTAAAACACGTCTGCTATTTTACATCCTTATAAACAGTATTTTGTTTTCCTCTCCAATCGATATGGAATTTCACAGTACGACATTATTTACGAACGGTAGAGTGGTTGTCAAACTATGGGTTGAATCTCGAGTATCATGCAACATTATTTACGACATTATTTATTCCCGTCCATCTTTATCTAAAATTCCTTTTCAAATGGTTTTAAAATATAAGTCAATTATAGAAAACTAGGAGTCTTTGATAATGATTTTTTTTTAATTATTTAATAATTATTTTTTAATCTTGTGATTTATTTATTTATTTTTAATCTTGAATGAGTTAAACTTATGTTGGCCACAAGGTGGTTTAAAGTCACACCGGCTGTTCTTAACACATTTCTGCACAGATTCTTCCAATTAATTTGGCATTTTAATTTCATTCTTTAAATAAATAAAGATCTATTAATACATTAAATTAATAAAAATATTCTTAATTTTATATTTGTCTAAAAAAATATTATTAAATTTTCTAAAATTTTAATAAAAATTTTAAACTTTTATTTCAAAAATATTTATTTAAAAAATATGGTAATACTCTTCCCATTAAAAAAAGTTTAAAAATATAAAAATTTTAAAATAACCTTAATATCATTTACTTTTAAAGGTGTTTTTAAAGTTTTTAAATTTTTTTTCGAGTATTAATGAAATTTTTGAAAATTTAAGGATATTTTTAAAATAAAGTATTAACCATTCCCATTCAAAACTATCTGTAAATGTATTTTTTTAAAATATTTTTAAGTTTAAAGGTATTTTAAAATTTTTTTTTAGAGATTTAAGATAATTTTGAGACAAAATGCAAAATTCAAATATATTTTTATTAATTTAGTTAATAAATTTGGTCAACGATAATAAGTATTTCTTAAATAATAATAACATAATATAATTTATAAAAATTTAAAATTTAATATTTCACTGACTATTCTATACTTAAATATATAAATTAATAAATATAAATATATAATAAGTTCTTAATTTCTACATACAGAAACCTAAGGTGGGATGAAACGCGGATTTAGATGGGACCAAAGAATATAAGGAGAGAAATTGAACGATCCAAGTAAATATAGACGGTTGATTGTAATCTTAACCGTTACTAGGTCTGACATAGTGTATTCAGTTCATATGTTTAGTCAATTTATGCATGAACCAAGAAAACCATATTGGGAGGCAGCTCTACGAGTTCTGAGATACATCAAAGGTACTCGTACTACCATATGAAAACAATTTAAGATTACAAGCATATTACGATTCAGACTGGGGTGGTTGTCGAACTTCCAGAGTTCAAATTTAGTTGGATTTGCATCTTGAGACACTTCTTCAATTGTGCTATCAATGAAGCCAATTTTCTTTTTGGCAATAAAAGCATGCATAACTGATTTACGATGGATAATTAGAACAAGTGAATATTTGGGCAGATCAGAGTGATGAATATAATAAAGATGTGTTAAATCAACATCCGAAATTTTGAAGCTGGATTTGACTGATTCTGCGAAAATTTTGATATTTAATAACACCAAGATCGGTGCTCTGATACCATGTTAAGAATGAGAAATAAAAGTGAGAACGGAAGTGCGATCTTCATTAATGTTCACAGCGTTTAAATAGGATACAACTACCAACTAATACCTAAAATATAATATATTTTCTAAATATTATAGGTTAATGGTTTCGAGTTTAATAAAATTTAAATTTAAGTCCTTAATTAAATATTTTTTTAAAGTCATATTTGACTATGAATGTGGGTATGAGGGTTCGAAGTCAAGAACGCGGATAAGGTTGAAGCAGCGACCGGTTCGATGTAATTAAAAATAAAAAGCCGAAAGTATTAAAAGTCAAAAAAAAGAGAAAAAAAAGTAATTAAAAAAAGATTGGAGGCTTTTAAGAAATAGCCGCCAGCAGGGGAAGAACAATACAGCAGAAAAGCAGACCAAAAAGTTGAACGGACTGACATTCTTCCAATTTTCAGCTTGGAAGTATTCAAATCAAAGACCCCACGATCCCCCACAACGTCGATTTCTCATGGCTTAAGAGTGATTCTCCGAATCAAATTCCCTCCATTTCCAGACGCAGCAGCAGGAGCAGAGCCAATCATGGGGAATGGCAGTTCCAAGCTTGATTCTTCCTCCTCTTCAGATCCCGATGCTGAAGACTCGCGTGGTTCTCGATTCAAGAAGCGTATGCATCTTCGTCGATTTCTTCGAAGGCGTCGTGGAGGAGACGCCAATGGCAAAGGAATTCGTTCTCATACCAAACTTGGCTCTGTGGAGGATTTCGCTGGAATCGCTGTTCTTACTCTTATTAGTGTAATGCTCTGGCTGTTTTGTTATCTAAGCTTTCGTTTGTTGCGCTTTGATATTGTTTGCTTGTTTGTAGGCGCAAATGAATTTCAAGGATAAGTGGCTCGCTTGTGTTTCGTTTGGAGAGCAGACTTTTCGGACGGGAATCTCTGATCAGTTAAGTTCTTGATTCTTTGACCAAGTTATGGTGCTTTAGTCCTTTAGTCGCCTTTTTCTCGTTCCTGTTCTTCTAAGAATATCTGTGCTATGCTGATCTTTAGCCAACGTGATTGTTTAAATAAGCGAGTTCCACGCGCGGACATAATATTCTGTGATTGTATTGCCTTTTCTGACTTGCCTGCTGTAAACTTAGCTTGTTTCGGTACCACTTTAGCTGAAATGGATTTACCGTTTATTGTTCTGAATTTCGTAGGCGTGGAATCTTGTAGTTGGAAGACGTTGTTCCATCTTGTTGAAAGGAATTTTTCTAGAGTATAAAGGGAAAAGAGTAAAGTGTAGTTTACTGTGCCAGAAAGTCTCGTTGTGGGGAAAGTTCGACTATGGAATTGAATTACTACAGTTTCCACAACACAAACCTATGCTTTATCGAAAAGTTGTTGCCTTTCTCTCGCAAAGGGAACACCAGTAAGAGAAAGAACGTGATAAGGGTTTTGGAAGAAGAAGCCTTCATTCGGTTCGTCCTCATCAGTTTCTTCATCTAAGAGAATTTTCCTTGGTTGGTTCGTCTTTGCATTTGTAGTCAGATGGAAAGCAGCTATAGTATTGCCAATAAATCCTTTTTTGTTTCATTTTTGCCCACGGGATTTAACTTTTGGAAGAAAGGGAAGAGTGTCGCTCCTGTTTTGTTAAACTTCATTGGAATACTTTATTATTGCTGGAACAAGCCGTTTGGCTCACATTGGAATTGTCCTTCCAACGTCAAGTTAAGCAAGCTGATGCATGTTCAAAATTAATGCTTTAGAATCTTTAAAAGTTTTAACAATTTTGGATGGTTTTTTGAGATCTCTTTCCAGTTAATGGTGGTGCGAAAAATTCTATTTTGGTTGTTCCGGCTTGGTTTCAGAAAAGAGGATGGTGGGTCTTCTGGGATATGTTGTTGAGCGAATCTCTTCAAAAGCTTATGAGTGCAATTGATCTTTATTTGCCCAAGGAAAGTATTTTTGAAGCTTCTTATGTCAAAAAGGATTTGGGGGCATCTTCTACAAGTTTTAGGCGGCTGAAGTTTCTTCAAACTACTTCTAGATAAATAAAAGGGGGTGAAAAATTTGGATTTCTCTAAAATTCTTGTTAACTCAAGATTACATTCTTCTGATGATTGGAGAGAAATCTCTAAAGCTCGTAAGAAAGAAAAATCTAAGAGTTCGTTAATAAATCCATTTGCAGCTGACAAAGTCTTGCTCGAATTAGGTTGACTTCTTAGAAGCTTTTGAAAGACGTCGTAGTCTTTGGAGAAAGATAGGAGAATTCCATATTTTGTTTGAGACTTGGTGCGGTTATAAACATAGAAGAGTTTAGTTGGTAGAAAGCTTTGGAGGATGGATTAAAATCAGAAGATTACCTTTATCTTTATTGAAAATGAAAATTTTGAGTTTATTGGAAAGAAATGTGGAGGTTTTATTTGAATTTCTTTAGATACCATTAACCTGTTGATTTTGATTGCTTGAATAGTCTCCTATATTTTTTGAGAGCAAAGAGGATCGTGGAAGATGAACAGTCTTTTGGGGTCTTGGATTCTTTTGGTAGTCTAAACTTTTTGTTGGGAGGGGTTGTGGGAACTTTGTGTGAAGTACCGTTGGTAGGAGATAAAGGTTTAATAGTTTCATCATTATTGGAGAAGGAAAAACATTTAAGAGGTGCTGGGTGTTACAACTGCATCCTGTCGAGACTCGAAATGAGATTGTGTGACACATATGCTCTCCCTTGGATAAGTCAACCAACTAAACTCGGGTCGTCGTTGGCACGGATGACGTATGCTCAGGTCTACAACCCCAATCTTGGAAAACAGTTTTAGAAAATGGGGTCAAAAAATGTTTTTGGAAAACGTTTGGAAAGCAATTTGAGAAAACACTGTTAATAAGCAAGCAAGCAACAAACAATGACGACGACATTGATAGTGTATAACCTTGGTAGAAAGAATTGACCACTAGTCACATCCCCTATATTACATTTTGAGGCGAATTAGCCTCGGCAAGTTTAGACATGATTTTGACTTGGAGTCAATACACACTTGAATTATAATAATAAAATATTAAAAAACTAGTTAACATGAAAGCAAGTATAAAAGGTATGGAGTAGGCATGCGACCATAGGTAACACGCCTTGGACAAGCATAGTCGTGAAATCAGACATATAGCAATTTTAACCCTGACATCATCTTCACCCATTTTGGTTGTCGAGTATTAGTGTCCACTCCAAGCTCCTAGTTGGATTAGAGTTCTTTTGCAACTCTTGAGACGGATAGTGCTGCTGAATTGATGCCTTTCATCCTTCTTGTATCTCGATGCTAGACAATGTTCAAGCATTTCACTTTGGTCTTTGTTATGAAGTTGTGAGTAGCTCCAAAGTTGACCTTAGTATTGTTAGTCAATCTGTGGTTAACCTAGGCCTTGATATACATAAGATTCCATTCCATTGACTCTTCCATCTCTCCCACTTTCTTTTGGAGATTAGATAAATACTTTAGGGCATTTTGGAGATTAGATAAATACTTTAGGGCCCCATGCGGGTGTTTTCAATGTTTTCGACTAATGATATTTTAACTTTTTTCTTTTCATATTTCGCTTCTGGGTTCATTCCAAATTTTTCTTGAAAGGTTTGGAGAGCTGCCTTTTGTGGGCATTTAAACTCTCGATGTGTCCCTTTGCATATGAAGTAGTACAAGGTTCCCCAATTATAACTGTTCTGGTGGTGTGGTCTCCAATACAGATTTCTACCTCTCTTTTTGGTGGATCCATAGTCCCCTCCTCTAGTTTCAAGTCTATCACCTCCTCCCACTTTTGGGTGAGTTGGATCGGTAATTTCTATTACCTCCACTTGTGGACGCCTGAATCTGTCTCACATTTTAGGATTGATCATTGTCAAGGTTAAGCAATCATTCAATTGTAGCATAAGCTGTAGAAAGGTCTTGATTTCGTTATTTGTACAGTTTGTACGTCGCCCATGACGCCAGCCCATCAACAATGTAAAAAACTTGTCTTTATCAGACATATCATGAATATCCAACATCAATCCAAAAAATTGCTTAATATAGTCTCAAATATTTTTGGCATGCTTTAGTTCCCCTATTTCCTCCTTCCTAGTATCTTGACATTCTCCAGGAAGAATTGCGAAAAGAATTCTTGCTTTAGTCTCTCCTAAGTGTCTATGGTACATCAACCATTTTGAATGTCCATGTACCTGGATCTCCCCCACAATTCATTGTCAACTGGATGCATTGTTGTCAAGGCTTCCAATGCCACAACACTTGTGTTGGATGATGAAAGTCCCACATCGGCTAATTTAGGGAATGATCATGGGTTTATAATCAAGGAATACTCTCTCCATTAGTATGAGGCCTTTTGGAGAAGCCTAAAGCAAAGCCATGAGAGCTTATGCTCAAAGTGGACAATATCATAGTATTATGGAGAGTCGTGTTAATCTAACATGGTATCAGAGCCATGCCCTAAACTTAGTCGTGTCAATAGATTGGTAAATCCTCAAATGTTGAACAAAGGACTCCAAAAGAAAAGGAGTCAAGCCTCCTCGAAGGCATAGTAAAAAATGACTAAGACTCCAAAGGAGTCGAGCCTCGATTAAGGGGATGCGTATTTGTTCGAGGGGAGGTGTTGGATGATGAAAGTCTCACATCGGCTAATTTAGGGAATGATCATGGGTTTATAATCAAGGAATACTCTCTCCATTGGTATGAGACCTTTTGGGGAAGCCCAAAGCAAAGCCATGAGAACTTATGATCAAAGTGGACAATATCATACCATTGTGGAGAGTCGTGTTCATCTAACAAATTGTAGTTTGAAAGTATTGTTCTAGGTTAAAGATGGATTTATCTAAGACCTTGGTATCTCAAACCTCATAGAAAGGCTTAGGCTTTGAGATCTTTACATTGTTAAACTAGACTACGTTTCTTGTTGGGGTTTGGTTCCCCATCGATCTCATGGTGAGATTTAGTCTGACGCTCAAATCTGCTACTTTGGCCTTTACTACATTAAGAGCAGCTTTTACATCCTTAGAAATTTCTGAAATCATTTGAGATATCACTTTTTGGGAGTTGTTTAAACCTCCGACATGCTCCTTTATACGGGGAACAAAGCTTGTTGAGCTATCCCCACCCCCTGAAGCCACTAATTCATGTGACTTTATCTTCTAGGGACTTAACTTGAGGCATCAATTCTTGGATGGACATCCTGTCTAGGCGGCTAGCTGCCACATCAATTATGTTGACTTTAGTGGCAATCTCATTAAGCGAGATTCCAAAAATCCAAGATTGTCAAGGACTTCACTTGGGTAGAGCATTTTCTCTTCGATCTCGACCGATCGGTCAACCCGGGACTTAAATTGTTTTGTAGTGGACATGTTTGTTTACTCGAATTCTAAGAGACGAGTAACCAATTGTTGCAATCGTACCCTTTCGAGAATTGCAACGTGATTGTGTGGTACTTACTCTTGCCCTCAAGTAAGTCCAACTAAACTTGGGTCACCGTTGGCATGGACGACGTATGCTCAAGCCTTCTCTAGTCACATTTTTGGAAAATAGTTTTAGAAAACAAGCTTAAAAAAAGTTTTATAAAAAAACGTTTGGAATATGAGGAAGCAATATTATAAGCTAGCAAGCAATAAGCAATAAACAACAACAACAACATTGATATCATATAACCCGGGTAGGAGGAATTGATAACTAGTTGCATCCCCTTATAGTGCATTTTGCGGAAAATTAGCCTTAGTAGGTGCATACATGATTTTGGCGAGGAGCCATGCCCCCATAAATTATTATAATTAAATAATAAAAAACTAGCTTACACGAATGCAAGTAAAAAGGGTTTGGAATGGTCATACAACCACAGGAAACACGCTTTGTACAAGCATGGCCATGACATTAGGCATGCGACCATAGGTAATATGCCCTAGACAAGCATGACCTTGACACGGGGCATGTAGACAAGTTGGTGATGGTTGATTCATTCAATGAAGATGCCGGTGTGGTCTTGAGTTTTGTGCCTCCTTTGGCTCAATAAGGAAGTCATGTTAGTTTTCCATAGGTCTGTTTTATCTTGTTTGAGATATTTGGGTTGACTTGCATTAGGATACTTTTCTTTTTGTCTTTGTTGGTGATGATTCTTCAAAGTTTCTTTCAATGGATCAATAGTTCTTGCAGAACTGAGGAGTTTTTTTGAGGTTTTATGATGGGTTTTCCAAGGTTTTTTGTTGGTTGGTGGTCTTTTCTTGATTTTCTTTGGAAGATTTGAAGTAGGTATTGGTTGGAGGCCTTATTCATAGTTTCATCATTTATTTGCAAGTCCTCTTACTCTTTTAGATGAAGTTTTTGAGAAAATTCTAGGTTCTTTAAATGTTTATTATTTTCTTGCTAATCTCTATTTGGTTGTAGTTGCTGTTTGTATTTTCTTCTTTTTCACTCCCTTTAGGAGTTTGTATCTTTTGAACATTTATTCATTTTCATTATATCAATGAGAGGTTGTTTCTTGTTTAGAAAAATGACCTATATGTTCTCCTCAAATATTGAGACATGGTGGAAAGTGGAAATGGTAACACAAGATCTGCAACGTTAGAAATACATTTGACGTTGTCTAACTTCTGTAGCTCTTTAAATTCTTGTTAAACATTGAATTGAATGTTAGAATTGAAAAGTGCATTTTTTGGTCAGATTTAGGGAAAAGAGGAAAATCTTTCATTAAACGTAGTTTCTTATGCAGGAGAGTGTTGATAATGTTGCAAATTTTCTGATTGAGATGAACAGTGTCACTTAATACAGAAAACCCATCTGATAAGAATAAAAAATTTTAAGGAAAAAAAAAAGAAAAAGAAATCAATATCCTAGAGGTCGTGCAAGGTAAATGTTGGTAATTTTCTCGGGATTAATTTGAATTTGAACGTGGGAATTGTAGGAAATTTGATAGGCATGTTATTAGAGTTTAAAGGGTATATTAGTAATTAACTAGGGAGGTAGTTATGGTAGTAATTTATAAATAGATGGAGTGGGAAAGGAGAAGGTAGACATTATTTTGGTGAGTGAATTAGGGCTTGAGAGTGATCTCAAGTAGGTAGGGTCCAAGTTCTTCAAATTACTTGGCTTATCTTGTAAGTTTTCATCCTTTACATTTCAATTTAGTTTGATTCTGTTCTGGTTTCTCTAAATTGTTTTATCAGAATTTGGGACTACAGTAATAGAAAAAGATATAAATTTAACGGTATTGTAAAATTTACCTTTGATATTAAACTTAAATTCAGAAGTTTTAATTTTGAAGTTTCTGTCATTTTCAATTGGCTAGAAACTTTTACTTTCTTGTCTGGAGTGGCCAATTTGATTTTATCATTTGAGACATTTTCAATTTCAGCCACCATTTTTTAGGAGCCCTTGGTATAGTTGGAGCATGGTGGCATCAACTTTCTTTGAAAGTTGTCTAAATCATAAGAATGTACCATCGAATCCTTTATCTGAATGATATCTGACATAGTCATAACATTTTATTGGATTTATTTATATTATTATTATTGAGCAATCTTGACTCTGTCGCTACAGAGACCTTTGCATATTCAATACGTAAATATATATTGTTGAGTTTGTTGATTGGGCTTTATTGGTTTTGCAGCACTAAAGACCCAGCTTGGAACTCTGTGAGTACTCAGACCTCTATTGTTTTCCAGCAAATTGAGTTTCTTTACTTGTGTTGCGTCTAATTTATTTGAATTTTTATTTGCTTTGGTACTTAAAAATGCTTTCCCTATCACTTCTTGAGTTGGAATAGATTTATATTGTACCATCTCTGCACTTCTCGTTTATAGTTTTTCTTTGTTTCAATCGATAATCTACAATATTTTTACTATCTTTTAGTCGGTGGATTTTCGGCCAACTTATATGCATATAAATTAATTTCTCAAGATAATTATTTGACTCTAAGATTTGGTATTGAGGAAATTGTTGGATATTTTGCCCTTTTGTCTTAAATAATATTTAGTTCTTTAGATACATGACTATTAGGCTAACTGCCCAACCCTGGTTAAATTGTAACAGAAAAAAAAAAAAAAAAAAAGATTATTTCACTAATAAGATAAAATGAAGAAAATGGGAAGGATGCTCAACCTTGAAGTTATTAGTATAAGGCTTTCCAATGCGAAGCGATGTATAAAATAAGATAGTTACAGAAATCCTAAATTATATATAGTTGTATGGAAGGAATAAATAATTTAGAGAATTCACCTAATTGCATTAACCCAATAAGCGTTTATGCTTTATCTTGCATATGATATAAGTTTCCAAAACCATGCTCATGACTTTAAGGCTAACTCTTTCCTTTACCTCTTTCCACCACTTATCCCAATAGTCCATTGGAAGCTTTGGGAAGTTTACGTTCCGAGGCTTTTGTCAGCTCATAGTTTGATATTCAGTATTCAGATTTCTTGTGTTGTCAAAGGTTTTATTTAGCCGCAGTTGGTTTGCGTTTCTCCTTCAGTTGGTGCTGCTTTCTCACTAGCTTCCAGGAATTAAAGTTTTTAAATTTTTTTTCAAAGATGCAAGCAGAGTTTTATTTATTTATTTCTGGAACAGAGGAGTAGAGATGGAAAGCTTTTGTGAAGTCTGAAATTTAAACGCATGTTTCTTTGATCAGGATTCTAGTGTAGTTTATTATTCTAGTTTTGTTTTTGTTTTTGTTTTATAAACTGTGTGTTCAGAGTTTTGTAATTTAGTTTTCTGTTCTATGATTGCTACTCTTATGTAATTTTTCATTTCATCTATGAAGATTGCCGCTCCCATAATAAAAAAACAAAAAAGATAAAAATAAAGAAAAGAAATTGCACTGATATATATCATTGTTTAGTATGAAATAAGTATTTATGCAAATGTAATTAACCAATCAAATATGAAAGAATTTTTATGCTTATTCTCCGGTTTAGAACTGTTTGGTAACATTTAATACCCTATATGATAACTGAATCACCTGATATATGCAGCTTTGTATAAATGCAACTATTTTATTTTTTATTTTTTATTATTTTTTTTTTCACAGGAAAAGAAGCTTCTCTTGGAGAAGGATGGACCTCATATTGCGAGGATCTCTGTTTTTGAGGTAGTAATCATCTTTAAAGGTTCAATGGTTTTAACGTTGTTTAGGATTTGATATTTACTAGAAAAAGAATAGGTTTCTAAGCTTTAAGTTTCTGGAATTTCAGTTTGATTTGATACTGCAATGTAAACAGAAAAACGAATTAATTTTCATTCAAATGTAACATTGTCCTTAAAAGAACTTATAGATATTTAAATATTAGTTTAAAATATAATATATCTTAAATTAATATAATTTTATTTTCTATTTTATGATTCTAAAATTTATAAAACATTTCGTTATGTTAATTAAATTAATGAATGGGTGAAAGAAAAAAAAAAAAAAAAAACGGAAAAAAACCCGAGTTGAAACTGAAAAAAGCTTTTGCATGTTTTTCAAGTTCTCCAGCTTTTATAGAATTTTATCTGAAGGCTACAACTTCGAAATCGCTAGGAACAGTAATGTCTTTTTTAGTGATAAAAAGAATGCTAGTTATTAGAATATTAATGAAAGTAATATTACAAAATTGCATAATATATAGAATTTGTAGATTTTGAACACTAAATAACTTTTCATTGATATAATAAAAAAGGATAAAAGTTCAAGAGATACAAACTACCTTAAAAAGAAAAATTAAAAACCACAAATAGAACCATATAGAGAACAACCATGTACAAAAGCTTTTTATAGATCTAACAAAACACACCCTCGAAAATGACTATTAAGTTATTTTCTTTCCATGGAATTGTGTAATCTAAAATTTGTATTTATCTTTTTGTATTGCAGACTAATAGAATATCCCGAAACAACCTTGTAGGATATTGTGAGATCGATCTACTTGAATTTCTATCACAGGCGAGTAACTATTACCATACGTAGACCCATCCATGATCATTTAGTTGCATTACTTTAATCACTTCACATAGAAAAGCCCATTTCTTTTTCCTGTAAACATCGATCGAGTTAACTCTAGTATTTTGCAAGTGACTAGTTACTCCATATTATTTAAGATCTCTCTACTATGTAGCATTAGGTACAATTTTTTCTAATAACAAACTGTATAAGTAGATTTCTTTTTATTATAACAGAGTATAAGTTCATCAAGGAGAAGAAATTACTAAAGAGGATGGGATATGAAATTCAAAATATGGATATACATCAAACTCTAAACATAAACATTTTCATTGAGTAGGTGAAATGGTTAAAGAAAATGAGATCCTATCGATGAGATGAGTACAAGAAAATTTTCCAATGAGAAATGAGGGAGGAAAGAGTGTAATTTCGAAATGTAGTAGTTAATTTACTCAAGGAAATTGTTAAAAAGATAGTGGATTCAAAGAAATTGTTGAAATTTTGTTGCTTGTCAGAAAAGATCCGTGGATTTCTGTCTTTCCAAAGATTCCACAGGAAAGCTCGAGCAATATTTTGTCAAAGAGTCTTCGTAGACTTATCGAAATGGTGACTCACAATGATGTTTAAGATGAAGGTGGAGATATTCCTAGGCATAGCCATCCAAAGGTAGAAAGGATACTGTTCCTAAACAATGATGCTAAGGAGCTGGAGCTAAACGTGAACATGGGATTCAGTTTCTTTAATATACAAGGGGCAGCAAATGAAATGCTTAGGCATTATACAACCAAGTGCGAATGGTAATAAAATTGTAAGACGAGGTAGCTGAAGGAAGGAGATGAAAGCGCTTGTTTGAACTGTAAACGTTAGGAGCTAATGCTTTATACAAAGTCCTAGTTGAGAGAGGTAAAAGCTTGATTACTGAATATGGTATTGAAGCCGAAGGTGTGAATTATTTCAGAAACTTCTATTGCAAAATAAAAAACTTAGATCTGTTTTGAAAAGCTGGATTGGCAGTCCTTTATCCAGTTTATCCATCTTTTGCCGAAGCCATCTGTATCATTTTTAACTAATAGCATGTGACAGTTGGATTTCTTCCTTCACTTCGTGTTACTCTGAGGAACAATTTTTGTCCTAATGTGGTCTTGTAGGATTCAAGCTCTGAGGAACTCAAATTGTTGGATCCATCACCACCTAATGAAGTGGTTGGAAAAATTTATGTGTCATGTTCTGTTGAGGTACACGATACATCATTAGTATTTCTAATTATGTTTGTGTGTGTGTTTTTTTTCAAAATTTTTTTATGACAACTACAAACAACCTAAGATTTTTTTGTGCGTTGTATACCTTATAATATGGTATGGAAGTATTTATTTCACGTTTTAGTGAATTCAGATAAGCACTTCTGTTATTCAGTTTAATATTATTGGCAGGACCCGATCGAAACTGAGAAACGCTTTGCAAAACGCATCTTATCTATTGTGGTATGTTACAATGTTCTCTTCTTGTAGCTAAATGATGTAGGGAACAGAATTTCCACCGCTTATTGCTAAGACTGATGTAGGTTGTTTTATTGTTTCAAGGGTGACCAGTATAAATCTCTTATAACTATAGATATTTGAATAAATAGCCTAAGATTAAAGTTAAGGTCAAGACCTCATATTTTCTCTTTTACCAAATTACCCTTACCTTCACCTAAATTATGTTCACCATTTCCACAACTTTATCTATTTGATGCTCCCTAAGTGACAGAACTCCTAAAGATAGTGAGTTTTTCGTTATTTTGTTGAAAGCTAACAGCCTTATGATATTATTTTGCATATGTAAGGATGCATTTGAAGTTTTTTTTCCTGACTTTGAGGAGGAAGAGAATTTTTTGAACCAACAAGAGAAGTAAACTCTCTTTTTGCAAGAAACTATTGTTGTACGGCGACACTGTTCTTTTAATCAACTCTTGGAGAAATTAGTCATACATGTCATTTTTAATTATGTTTGCTAGACAACACAAACATGTAATCCCATTTAGAATTCTCCTACTTAAAATTATTTACTTTCATATTCTTGAGCTGTCATATTTGCACAGGATTATAATGAGGATGGAGAGCTCTCATTCCCTGAATTTTCTGACTTAATTGATGCTTTTGGCAATCAAGTGGCAGCTTCTAAGGTTTGAAGTTAAAACTTAATCTTCTCTCTCCCTCTCTGTGTTTCTTTTTTTTACCCCTATAAGTCACTGTAAGAATTGATTCTAACGTTGGTTTTATGAAAATTATAGGTTAACTTTGAACTGCTGAGAACAGTACCAAATAGAGTTCATGTGTTAATTGGAAAAGTAGAATTTAGTTTTTATTTGATTATTTTTTATTTTTTTAATGTTTTCTTCTTATTCTCTCTTTATATCCTTGTGATTCTTTTCTTTGTATTTTTGGAATATAAGTTCCTTATTCCTTGAAGTACATTCTACGCAGTTTTCAACTATCTGCTGGTAATTGAATTTTCTTTGAACTGTAAATAAGGCATTTGAATCCAAGAATGGAAATCTTATGGATCAGCTTTACATGTATTTTTCAGTTTATCTTGTTTGAAGTTATAATCTTTTTTTAATCTTTTTTCGGTACTCATTTTCTGACATAAATATCTTTGTTAATCTATCTGGTTTCATATCTATTTTCCTGAGCTATATAGTTATTAATATTGTAGAAGGAGGAGCTTTTTAAGGCAGCTGACAAGAACGGGGATGGTGTTGTCACGCTTGATGAGTTGGCTGCTCTTCTTGCTGCTCAACAAGAGAAGTAAATATCCATTTGAATCATTCTTTTGAAAAATGCCATTCACCTATTTCTTGCACCATATTATTATTTGATACTTGAAAATCGGGCACAGTGAATTTAAATGTCTGGATAGAGAGCTATAATTTTTCATTTTATTAATCAGGAAACGAAATTTTCTTTAAATAAATGAAAGCAGACTAATGCTCAGAAGGTACAAACTCTATGAGGAGTGAAAGAAGAAAAGAAAACACATAAAAAGGAAAAGAAAACAACCAGCTAGAACCAAACCTACTATTGAAAACCAAAGAAGCTTTACAAGCTTGGACCACAAAGAAATGAAGATCCCTCTGAAAATTGGATAGCGGAGTTATAATCGTCTTTTTGCGTATGATTGAGGAATTTACTTGTGTGATGCACATCTTGGAAAGTTTCTCTACCCTTCCACTGTTAATTTAGAAAAAAAAAATTCATCCCTCACGCTTGCAGTACTTTACACATTTGAGACTTAGTTTTTTCACTTCATTCCTTATAAGGCAATTCAAACTATTGTCAACAAACAAAAAAATGGTTACTACGGTAGCAAGCATGTTTTTGAGATGGAGTGGAGAATCAATTAAGAGACAGAGACAGTTACTGGTGAATTTTTCTACATGATGCACTTTGGTTGAAGTTGAAAGGAACAATTTTGATTTTTGAGCCTACAACTCTCCCATCTCTTCATCTCATTCCTTTTAATTTTTCTAGCATATTGATGATTTTCTTTAAATTGCAGGGAACCATTGATGAATCGCTGCCCTGTTTGTGGTGAAGTTCTTGAAGTTTCTGATAAACTGAACAATATGATTCACTTGACTCTATGTTTTGATGAAGGAACTGGAAACCAAGTTATGACCGGAGGGTTCTTGACCGATAAACAGGCTGCATATGGGTAAAGTTTTCATGTACTTAATTAGCTCTTCTTTTTTTTTTTTTTTCGGCTCAGGACAAGATAGCTAAACAGAGAAACATCACTTTCGGAGAATATGAGATAAATGTTAATTAATCTTTGCTATTTCCCGCTTAAGTTCTCCTAAAATGATCCTTTCAGGTTAGTTTTCATTCAGTTTTTGGATAGAAAATATTTGCATCGAAATATCAGTATATACACAACTAGGAGTCTTCTTTTAGACTCTTGTAATCTTTTTCGTTTTATTTTTGCTTTAGGTGTTTTGGTTTTCTTTTTTCCTCTCCCGTTAGAAGTTTGTATCCTTCAGCAGTTCTCTTCTTTTTCGAAGTCTGTTTCTTATTAAAGAAATAAAAAAGTGTGAGAATGCGACATCTTTCCAAAAGGAAAATGGGTTAAACAAAATCCTAATGAACTTCAATATTAAGAAAAGATAAATTATAGCTGTTAATCTTAATCAACTTGAATGTCAAGAAGCGATGAATTTTAGAGGGACTGACCCATGAAAGCCAATCTAGAATCCAACAAAATAGCTGTGTCTAGAAGCTCGACCCTGCCCCCAAGGAGGAGGGGGAAGAAATAAAGAAATAAAGGAAAGAAAAGAAAAGAAAAAGCGAAAATCTCTCTCTACCTAAAATCCAGCGCCTTTAAACCTTTTCCACTGAACCATTGTACTACTGGAGAAACCTTGGCCCAAAAAGCTTTGAATGAGATAACTATCAATACAACGTACATAGTACACCATTGAGACTAAATTGGAAAAAGGATACCATTCTAAACTATCCAACAAAAATTTTTCTGGAAAAGAACGAAACTCTTGCAATTTTTTTCCCCTGAAGATGTTCAGCCAAATTGTAATGCACAAAATATGTTGCCGGCTTCATCCAAAAAATTGCGAAGGTTTCACTATTTGGGGAAGAGGCATAAGTTCGGACTACTTTTTTGGATTCTGTACACACTATTGAATTTAGAGTTAAAGCCAAGAATCCTACAATTTTAGAGGCCTTCAACTTCCAAGCAAGCATGTAAATGACTTTGGAAGTGGAAGAAAGTGGAAGGATATGTTGATTCTCCCAGAGTCCTTTCTAAAAAATTAAGAATGCTGATAGTCTTGAAAGAATCTGAGACTGAAGAAAGTTTCTTGGTTATTTTCAACAAGCTCTATCTAAACTTCTTGATGTTATAATGTGGCTAGATAGCTACGATTTAAATGTGATTTGCACATCTGTCTGACTTGAAAAATCTTTTGAAGATGCTGAGATTTTTCTTTGAAGAAACAAAAGATACTGAGATTTTTAAGAACATGCGTTCCATGGAAATCCATGTACCGAAGGCCTGAGAGACTTCTTGCATAATTTCTAGGTAGGCAGCCGAAATGATCCTCTTCTAGGAAATTTCAAGAACCAGGACCCAATTGAGGGAAATCTAGCATGCCGCTTCCCTTCCTGTATATCTTGTTCTTCGTGTTATCTCTTGAATTGCCTACCTTTTCTATTCATTGCATACATAAACAAATTGTAGGTCTGTCTCATTTCATAAATTTTTTGGTGTCCCTTTTGAGGAGGCTCACAAATATCGGTGTCCTTTGCTTGCATTGTGCTTCCTTGGCCAATTGTGTAGGGAACCCAAGGAGAATAGTGTATTTTTGGTGCCCTAAGTGGAAAACATTGAAGGAAAAATTCGACCACTCAAGATTTAATTGTAGTAGACATACCTTCATTCAGGCTACTCTTTTCAAACGCTCCTCTGTAGGCTCGTTCTTTAATTACTATCAAATTCAAAAGCTTACATTTTTTGTTTAATGTGAATTTAGTGATTTGGTAGATTTTCCATAAACCCTTCACATTTAGGCTTGGGTATAAATTACAAAATTAATACAATTTGAAATAAAAAGAAAATGACATTGCAGCAATATGAGCTTGAAGTCTCTCACTTTAAATATTTACTCACAACTATTTATGATAAGTATAATAATTTAATAATTAAAGTCTGAGATGCACCTTGAAGCACACTTTGCCAAGACATGTATCTTAGTGAGGATAACTTGTTCATCTGAGGCAAGGAGCATTAATGCACCTAATGTTTTCAAAACATTGAATTAGGGGAGGGGAGGGGAGGGGAGTGAGCTTTGTCATAACATGTGATATTTGTCTCCATTTCTTTTTCTGTAGAGATTGAGAAATTTCAGATGCTTTGCAGGTGGATGTTTAAGTTAAGCGAATGGGCCCATTTTTCGTCGTATGACGTTGGTCTAAACTCTGGTTCAAGTGCATCTCATATTGTAGTATGTAGATTCTCTAATTTTCACTTCCTTTTCAAATTAAGTTTCTTTCTTATACTAATACTTTTCCATGTAATTAATTACATCCAATGAAGTATTAATGGTTAGTGAGTACATCTGCAGCTTAATACATTCGTACATACTTTAAAGGGATTATTTTGGGAATGAAAATAAAAATTGTTCAACTTTAAGAGCATGTTTTGTTCACAAGTTTCTGAAGGATCTAGATACCTAAAAATCGATAATCTCTCTGGTAAATTGTTGCAATTTCTCTGTTTCTTTAGTTTTATATCCACGTGTACCAGTGAAACTTTTTAGTGCATTTTACTATGCGTTGAAGAAACGTCAACATCCTTAAAAGAACAAAATAATCCAACATAGTAGAGAAAAAACAAAGAGATAATTTGGATCAGCATTTTTTAAAATGTAACCAAATATTTACTTTTAACTACTGGGGAAATGTTTTTGAACTATTTTTCTGAGTTTAGTATCTTCATCTTTTACTTTTTGCTTGTTAGCTCACAGATTACTCTTTAGGTTTATGATCGGCAGAAAAAAAGGCTAGTGGAAGAGATAATTGATGGAAAGATTGTTTTGTCAATGAGGGCCATCTATCAGTCAAAAGTCGGTCTTGCTCTTATGGATAAAGGTATGATTTAGTTTGTGAAGAGGTCCTGAAATGTAACATATATACCCGTTTCAAAACTTACGAACTTATCTATACCTGTTAGAAAACCTATTGACCTTCCTTTTCTATCTCCTCTGTACGATGGCTTGTTTCTAATTATTATTCATTATTATTTTAGAGTAATTAGTAATGCTATTCCACCGTTTTCACCCCTTAATGATGGATCATTTGGAAAAAAAAGAAACAGTACCTCTGGGGAATGGGTTCAAACCCTTTCGTGGCTACCTATATGGAATATTAAATTTTACGAGCTTCTTGACAACCAAATATTGTTAGGTTAAGTGATTAATGTGTGGTTGCATGCATTGGCCTGAACACTGGAGATACTCATGGATATAAGAAAGTATTGTTCTCGAGAAAGATAATTTTTAACCAAGGATTTCTCAGCTTTTTGTCAATATTTCTATTCATTTAACATTTGCTCTTCTAGTTTTACTTTTCTACTCCATTTAACACTAATGTTTTCATAAAAGGAAGCAATTTTTCATTGGTTGAATGAAAGTGGCCAACTAAAAGTGAACAATCCGACAGAACCTAGACCACCTAACATAATACCGAAAAGAACAATACAAATAAAAAAACTTGCAGCTTACAGTATGCATTGACCTTGGTTAGCTTAGGGTTTGGTTTGGCTCTTTTGTTGGGCTGTTTTCTTGAATGTGTCGAGTGTTCTTTCATCTATCTTAACAAAAACTCGGTTTCTCATATAAAAAGAAGGAAAAAAAAAAAAAAAAAAAAAAAAAAAAAAAAAAAAAAAAAAAAAAAAAAAAAA